CGTGAACCTCAGCTTGTCATTCTGAAAACAGAGAAAGCTGCTTTATCAAGTAATCGCAACATCTCTACACACCACATCACAAACGCCCCCAGCCCTGCTCTTTATGAGCTCACAGATCTGAGATATCTAGTTTTTATTTGATTTCACTGTGTGAGACTAAGCCTGTTCACGTCAGACATTCACCCCAAACCCACGCCATCGGTCACGCTGTTTGTCAGGATGGAATAGGGTCAGAAAGTTTACATGTTTGAGGAAATCAACTGACAAAGAGCTCACTTTTAGTTGTGCATCCTCATTAAACGTACAGCTTAACACTGAAAAATGACATCCATGAACTAATTAATCTTTATAACCAAAACATCCAACAAATTTGACATTTTTTTATTTTTAAATATATCTGAAAAATATAATGCACAACACTCACAAACAATACTAGAAGTATTAAAATAAGTCTGAAAAATGCATAATGCACAACATGAATAAACAATATTAATATCAATAATGTATCTGAAAAATGTATAATGCACAACATGCACAAATAATATTAATATTTAGAAATTAATATATCATTAAAACATTACATGCAAACATTCACAAAAAATTATATTATTAAATTAATATATCTAAAAAATGTAAATGCACAACATGCACTAACAATATTAATATTAGTAAATTAATATATATGAAAAATGTAAATGCACAATATGCATAAACAATATTAATATCACTAAATTAATATATATGAAAAATGTAAATGCACAATATGCATAAACAATATTAATATCACTAAATTAATATATATGAAAAATGTAAATGCACAATATGCATAAACAATATTAATATCACTAAATTAATATATATGAAAAATGTAAATGCACAATATGCATAAACAATATTAATATCATTAAATTAATATATCTGAAAAATGCATAATGCACAACATGCACAAACTAAATTAATATCAATAACGTATCTGAAAATGGAAATGCAACACATGCATAAACAATATTACACTGTTAAATTAATATATCTGAAAAATGCATAATGCACAACATGCAGAAACAATATTAATATTACCATACATTTTTATACATATTATTTGAGCGTTCCTGTAGAGAGCATGGCATCTCATGGGTTAAATTTCCAGTGAATGCATGAAGTGAATAAATATAATTAAATGCAATGCAATTCACTTTGTAAAAAAGCGTCTGTCAAATGCATTAAAATGATTATTCAAAATTCAAAATCAGATGGCATTTGTCATATGCAAGAGCAATAATCAGACTTATTTGACTTGGAAAAACAGCGGCAGCCTTGAGCTATGTTTGTTGCTCTGTGAGTTAGATAAGCTGTCTTGAAGCAGGTTTTAGGAACAACAGCAGCTCTATTCTCTCTAAACAGTCATGGCCTTAACTGAACTCCTTCAGAGCCGAGAAAACGCTCAACATGTAGGTCAAAAGATGCATGTGAGAAATAAAACAGGAGGGAAAAGTGCAGAAAGGGGAGAGAGTCACACATTACTGAGAGATGACTGTGCTGGCAGAGCATGTACGTGGTTAGACTGAAATTAACTACTTCATACTAAAACATTTCTTCAAACCAACACACTGACCTCTGCCTGACTGGCATTCATGATTTTGGAGCGGAAAGGCACGATGGCACACAAAACTGAGATCGTCCAAAATATGAAGAGCACACCGGATGACTGCACTCCTTTCAGCCTCTCAAACTGGATCAGGAACGTGGCTAACAACTAGAAGAGAGCAAAGACAGCCAGAGCTCATACACTGTAGTTCTGAGAATGAATATCTGACTTTTAGATAGTTCACACATTATAAATGGAGACATACAGTATCATATATTTTATTAGGTTATTTAATTGTTGCAAATTACATGACAAAAACTGTAGTTAATAACGTAATCCATTACATTACACATTTTAGGAAATATAATTAGACTACTTTTTGAGCACTTTTACATTACTTGTGACCTAACTCATTTATCACATTGATTTTTGGAAGACAAAAGCCTTCCAAAGACAAAGGCTTGTTTGAATAATACACACACACACACACACACACACACACACACACACACTCATACACACACACACACACTCACACTCACATATATATGTGTGTATGTGTGTATAAACAGTGTATATACAGGTATAAACAATATCAGTATTATTTTATATTTTTTTATATTTAATATATAATATTTGATCATTCCTGTAGAGCATGGCGTCTCAGAAAAAGGGCTCAAGTCCCAAGTTAATGCATGAAGTGAATAAATGATAAATAATTTTATTGAAGATTCAAAATCAGATTGTTACAGGCATTTGTTATAACCGGGAGCAAGAATTGAAAAAGAGCAGCTAGTGGAGCAACAGCCTTGAGTTACGTTTGTTGCTAACAAATTAATTTAAATTGTTTAAAAAAATTTTTTTAAATGTTATATTCTCATCTTTACTTTTTTGTAATGTGTGAGAAGTATTAATGTTAAAGGTTAACTTTTTTTTTTTTATATAGTGTGATTTTTGGAGAATTTTAACATAACACAAGGCATAGTCAGGATTATTATAGTAACTAAAACCATAAAAATACATTTCCGTTACTTGAAATGAAATAAACATTAACTGAGAGTTTTATTTCAGCTAGTTTCCAAGCCAACATTTCTCTGTTTTTTTTTGTTGTATTTTAAAATAACACTGGGGTTATAATTTATTTTTTCATTGTCCACTGTAATTAAGCAGTCAGTTTTTTACCGCTGTGCTTTTATAGAAGTGAACAACAGCGCCTGACCTGCACAGATTCATAAAACTATTCATGTGCCCCGTGTTCATGCTGTTGATGTGTTGATCTGCTGTTAGACATTCGTGCAAGTTATGAGAACGAGACATTGTTCAGTGAAGGCTTTTCAGACTGGAGAGGAAGTTTTGAGCTTCATTGCAACTGATGTTAAGATCTGACACAACCGACATATTCAGCTGCCGTTCTCACTCACCATCGTCATGCCAAGTACTAGAGGAGTAACGAAATATACTGGGGGTTTCAACTGATTCTGGCTCATCTCATGAAATGAAGAAAACAGGTCTGTCCAGCATACGATCCACAAGATCAAGCCGAGAACCTGCACACACACACACACACACACACACACATATAATGAATCATTACAACAAGATAACAGAGAACCGAACATACACAAGTGCTTGACATCTCCCACCGTTTTGATTCTGTTCAGTATAGACATCATGATGTAGCCTCTGTTGTTCCTCTTGAGGTAGAAGATGTAGAAAGGAGACGTCAGCCAGAGGAAGATGCAGGGAGCCCATGGCAGGACAGACAGCTGAAAGCATGCTGGGAAATCCGGCAGGGTTGTGTGCTTCGTGAAATTAGAGTCCTGAGAGAACAGAAGCACCAACATGAATTCAGACTCATGCTTCCCAAACTACAAGACTGCACAAAGCACAGCGATTAGATGCACTGACTCTTAAGACGTGGAACTAAATACTGTACCTTAGTTAAGAAATTGAAATATTTTCACATTGAAATGAATCATAGAAGATCACCTGGATATTCTTTGGTTGTTTCAATTTAATTTTTTCAAAATGATGATTAAAAAAATGATAAATTACATTAGAACTCACAATATATTCAGAAATATGAATATGTAAGAATATTTTTCAAAATTATGATTTAAAAAATTGATAAATTGCATTAGAACTCACAATATAAACTGAAATATGAATATGTATGAATATTTTTCAAAATTAAGATAAACATTATAAATTACATTAGAACTCAGAATATATTTAGAAATATGAATATGTATGAATATTTTTCAAAATTATAAATTACATAAGAATTCACAATGTAAACAAAATATCTATGAATATTTTCAAAATTATGAAAAAAATTCTAAACTACATTAGACCTCACAATATATTAAGAAATATGTATGAATATTTTTCAAAATTAAAATAAAAATTATAAATTACATTAGAATTCACAATATAAACAAAATATCTATGAATATTTTTCAAAATAATGAAAAAATGATAAACTACATTAGAACTCACAAGAAATATGAATATGTATGAATATTTTGCAAAATTAAGATAAAAATTACAAATTACATAAGCATTCACAATATAAACAAAATATCTATGAATATTTTTCAAAATTATGAAAACATTCTAAACTAAATTACAACTCACAAGAAATATGAATATGTATGAATATTTTGCAAAATTAAGATAAAAATTATTAATTACATTAGAATTCACAATATATTAAGAAATATGAATATATATGAATATTTTTCAAAATTATGATAAAAATGATAAATTACATTAGAATTCACAATATAAACAAAATATCTGTGAATATATTTCAAAATTATGAAAAATAATAAATTACATGACAACTTACAATATAAACAGAACAATTATATTTTATATATATTGATATATATTGATATTACAAAATGATGATAAAAAGGATACATTACATTAGAACTCACAGCATAAAAAGAAACATGAATAGTTTTCAAATTTAAGATTAAAAACTATAAACTACATTAGAACTCAAAATATATTTAGAAATATGTAAAAAATGATACATTACTTTAGAACTCACAATATAATCACGAATATAAATATGCATCTTTCAGGGATGCATGATAAAACGGCACCATATTAATTCAACCGATATTACAGGTTTTTAAATTGTATCCTTTTATATTAGATATATACCAGCTGATATAGCATATATTATATATTTTATGCTCATTTGTCCTATTTTAACATTTAGATTACCTTTGCCATCCTCCATTCTCACATGCCACCTATCTCCCAAGTGGACCATTGACTCTCCTAACTGAGATTGTACATAGAGTGTCAATGGTCCGTTTGAGAGATAGGTGGCGGTAATGCACTTATAAGTCTGCGATCCGCCGTAAAGCAAGAAGAAGAAGAAGACGCGTCACGCGCCGGCTGTCGAGGACGCGCTCAGGACTGGTCAGACATTGCAGTGCATCAAAACGATATAAATACTGTTCAGTTTCTTGCACAGACCGATCGTTTCGTGTCTTTACACATTAATGCATCCTCACGAGCCGCAGGGTTTAATTTGGTTTTGTTTGTGTATGTTTTTTGACTCTCAAAGCCGTGATTCCCATTCACCTCCATTATATGACTGACAGACTGCAACGGTTGGAGTTAAAAATCTCAGTTTGTGTTCTACTGAAGAAACAAAGTCACCTACATCTTGGATGCCCTGGGGGTAAGCAGATAAACATCACATTTTCATTTTTGGGTGAACTATCCCTTTAAGCAACCCAACCTGATTAAGCTCAAGGAAATCCAAACGGCAGTCATTAGGCAAGATCCCAGATGCACGGCGCTCGAGACAAACAGAGAAAATAAAGCAAGGCTTAATAATGCAGACGAGGCTGTGCAGCGTCACTTCCGTCTCCTGTAATGTTAGAAAGGTTAGGCTCAGGGGTTTTCTGACCCGAGAGACGTCAGCCGTTGCTCTCACAGGATGCAGGCTGCGGTCTGAAGGGAAGACACCTCTCGCTGCACACCTTCCACGCGGTTATGAGGTCAAATGCACAAATCTGTTCAACAACAGATGATTTCTGCTGCACTTCGGTCAGAGCTGAGTCTTGAAACTCGAGCTGAGGAGCAGAATAAGAAAAGCAGTGCCCTGGCGAGTTTCAGACGCATGTATGTGTGTGTGTGTGTGTGTGTGTGTGTGTGAGTGTGAGTGTGTGAGTGTGTGTGTGTGTTTTCTGTCAAGGAGAGCAAACCCAGATCCACCAACTGATATATATATATACTGCACTCGCATGTAAACGTCCACATGACCAACACAACATGCAAAAGAGCTCAAGAGAGCAACGTAAAGAGAATGCAAAGCAGAAGATTTTCCACCATGGTTGTACGCAGCATCCCTGCTAACAGGGAACGTTCTCTTAATGTTTTTTTAATGTTATTGTTTTTACATGTTACTGTTTAAAATGTTAGGATAAAATGTTTAAAGTAACGTTTATGGAATGTTATTATAACTTTGTTCATATTTGATATACATTCTCATAATGTTGAGAGAAAACGTTCTGAGATCAATGTTCTCTCAACCTCCTTATGATGTTATTTCTACTTCTGAGAAACGTTTTTTGTAACCTTTAAATAACGTTATAATCACGACAAGAAAACTGGACATGTTAATGAATGTAAATGTAAAAAATGTAAAAAATAAACCTTAAACTTTAAACTAAAATCTACAATCTGAAGTCTAAATCTACATTTTTTTTCTTAGTAAAATGTAAAGTTCCAAGTTGCATAAGATTCTTATTCATTCATTCATTCATTCATTTTAATTTCATTTTAGTTTATTTTGTTAAGTACAAATCTAATGTATTATGAGATGCTTAAAACAAGGAAAAAAACTATTTGCTAATGTAAGAATAAAACTTGATTGCATGATTCTCTAAAAACTATCTTATCATGCTTAGAAATCAAGACTTTTTTTTTCAGTGAACTAAAGGCAAATTTCCTGTCTTTGTAATAAAACTACAAACACGCCCTCACCATGAAATCCTTTAACAATCCACAGAAAGCCGTGTGTTGACAGGAACAGGTAGAGCCCAACACAAAAGCTTTGACCCTTCGACTGGTTTTTCCTCTAAACCAGAACTCCGAGCAAACCAGCGCATCACTGATAAACATACAGAGCAACCAAAGCTACAGTCTAACCCTACACTGCTCAGGCATGCCGAGAAAACACTATATATGGTGATATTCAGTCTTGAAGACAAGACATGTGAGTGGTTTCAGTGAACACATATGCTTCATATCTGTGTGTTTGGATAAATGACGTGAAACATGAGCAATCCTTGTAAATGTTATAGGAGAAGATCTTTTCTGAACCGCTCTACAAAATCACTTTTGTCAATAAGACTGACTATATTTCAGTCATAAACGTACTATTTACAGTTTATTATATACATGTACAAATATTATAAATCCTTCTGTTTTTAAGATCTCATGTCTTTGGGCCTCACACTTTTCTACCTGGGACAAAGTTTGATGAAGACTTGATCTGAAACACACAACGTGTACTGAAATGGAATTTAAACCTGGAAATAAACTAACAAAAAAAAATGTTTATGATTTTAAATAAGTGAGAAATATTTCAGACATGGTGAAAATTTTGTGTAATTTACAACTTAGAAAAATAATTATTAAAGTGTATTTCTGTCAAAAGCTAAAACTTAAACTAAAAGCATAAACCTAAAACCATTTTTATTACTTGAAATAAATAACATGTTAACTGAAATGAATTAAAATATATATTTGTAAAACTTATTTTACTTCATCTAGTTGCCAAAGAATTGGTTCTCATTATCATTTAGTTTAACTTCAAATAAATAATTTAATAAATTATAAATAAATTAATTAATTAATTAATAAACAAATAAATTAATTAATTAATTAATAAAACTAAAACCAGAAACGTTTTTTGTAACCTTTAAATAACGTTATAATCACGACAAGAAAACTGGACATGTTAATGTTGCTAGAATATTAAAATAAACTTTAAATAACTACATTTTAGGTGAAAATAAATATGTAGAATGTTGTAAGAAACGCTTTTGTAGCCTTTAAATAACGTTCTGATCACGACGAAAACTGGACATGTTAATGTTGCTAGAATATTAAAAATAAACTTTCATATATTGCTTCATTTTGGGTGAAAATAAAGTTAGTAGAATGTTACAAGGAATGTTTTTGTAACCTTTAACATTCTAATTATGACAAGAAACCTGGACACTTCAACATTTTAGAAACATTTCAAAACAACACTCCCACAACGTTTCTATAAGCTACATTTGTAGCCTGCGATGCATGTAGTGTTGTAGCTGAAATGCTGCATAAATGTGACCCTGGAGCACAAATCCAGTCTTAAGGGTAAATTTTTCGAAATTGAGATTTATGCATCAGCTGAAAGCTGAATAAATAATCTCTCCATTGATGTATGGTTTGTTAGGATAGAACAATATTTGGCTGAGATACAACTATTTGAAAATCTGGAATCTGAGGGTGCAAAAAAATCTAAATATTGAAAATAAATTAATTAATTAATTAATAAAACTAAAACCAAAATAAAAATTAATGAAAACTACATAGACATGTTAAAAAAAATAAAAAAGACAAAATCACAACAAAATTACTAAAATAAACCAAATTAAAAAGAAAAATATAAAAATAAAATCATTCAAACTGTTAATAAACACTTATTTTAATAACCCTGTTAATAACCCTAACCCTAACCCTAATGGTTCAGTTCCGCTTTTCTCACACATTGTTATGCTGGTAATTTGTAATAAAAGTGCAT